ACTTGTTGATGAGCTGGGATACTGTGATAAAGTTTCTGATAGCAAGCAGCACTTGTTGACCTCAAACCGTATAATTTTTCCATAGTTTGAGCAACTTAATGTCAATTGTTTCCTAGTGTGTTGCAGCAGTTTCTAATAGTGGGAATTAGGAGTTCGGCACTTTGAAGATGAGGATTAGATTCCTGTCACTGCCGTGGATTCAGATAAATTTTGTGTTTGTGGCTCAGTCAGTGAAGTGGAAGAATTTGTCATCCCTGAGTCCGTGTGATCAGCGTGAGTACCTGTTGCTGCGTAGCAATATCCAGCGTGGAGGTAGGTTACAAGATGAAAATTTTGCAGTTGTGCAGAATCTTCTGTTTGATAACGCTGCTGTGAACTTCGGTCACGCTGGAAAGTAGACTAGAACTTTTTAGAGGCTTGAGCACCGAGGAGTTGCTTTTCCATTTCAGTTTTGAATTTGAAATGATCAAAGTTGGTAGTGCCTGCAGTAAAGTAAAACCTTTTTTACATCAACCACTTTCAAGTTATTTATTCCCTTTGTGCCTGTGGTGCAAAACCGAATGTGAAACTGTCATCAGGAACTGCTAAAAACAAGATTAAAAACAACCTGCCGTATTTTTGGAAATATCTCTAGGATTGCAGACATCTTAACGTAAAATGTGGTAAAACTGACTCATTTAATAAGCCAAAAAATGAACTGACCTGCTGATATACAGTTTTCTTTAAAACATTTTCTGTACAATTTCTAGCACTTCAATTGACAGCATTTCAGCTGCTTCTTTAAATGTAATACTGAAGGAAAATGAGATGTTGAATGACTGAAATTTCTAATATTTTTGAATTTTCTGCTATTTTTGAATACTTTCCTAATTATCTGTCCCTTTCATGTTAACCTTGAATGAGGTAATATCCTCAGTTTTATAAAGGCATTTGCCTTCGTTAAAGGATTGTGTGGCACCAAACTGAATGTTGGAAAACGCTAACGATGGGATGTGGTGTAGAAGTCTGTTGAGCTCTACGTGCGTGGGGTCTTCTGACTGTTGTACCTTCTAGGTCCCTCGGCTGTTGACCCCGTTATCCTTTAGAAAGAAACGTGTGAAAGCGATCCTGGATGGCAAGCAGTGTTTTAACTCCTGGCAGCTGCAGCCAGCTTCGTACTAGCTCTGTTGGCTTGCACCAAAATGACAGGGGTGCCCTGAAGTTCTTGCTCTTCTTCGTTTTCCTTCCTTTCCCCCCTCTGCCGGGTGGCTGTCGTACTGCACTCACCTCTGTAACGCACTTTCGTTTTGGAGTTGGTCTCTCTTGTGGCTTTCCAGCAGTTTTCCCCCTTGTCTTGGAAAGCAACATTAATTTTCATAGTTGGAGCCTATGTTAAAGTCAGTACCTCTGCAGAGATCCTCCAGCCTCCAGGGAGGGATCTTTTGTGTAGTCTTTTCCGTCCAGTGGAGAGCTTGTTTTTTCCAAAAATTCTCATGCCTGCACAGTGGGGAAGATTTCACTTGTAAGAAGGTGGCCCAGACTGGGCATTGAAATTCAAGCTCTCCAAAACCAATTTTTAAGAACAGGAGCTTCTCTGCCTAAAAGAGGCTGGGAATATATTACTGTCTGGAAATAGTGCAGCAGTACGTTGAGACAAGGCATAAATAAAATATTATTGGAAATGGGCTGACTTTTTTCCTCAACTGATTAATCTTTAGCTTGTTCCGCTGTCAGTTCCAGACTGTCATTTCTGAGAGAGGTTGTTTTTTATGCACTGAAAGAACAAATGTGTGTGTACAGGACTAGCGAGCTGCGCTTTTGACTTTATGACCAAGCTGCCAATTAGCATTGTACTGCGTGATCTCTACAGGCTGCCTTGTTTTGGTCCAAAGCAGAGAAATGAAACTGTAAACGCAATCTATTTTTTATAGCATATTTTTTTTGCCTTTCTTAGTGGGACTAAGTAACTTGAAGACTCGATCGGAGAAACCTTTTAAGAAGTCATTCAAGACTGAACATCCTGAGTTTCCTTGCCAGCTCTTTCATTGGAGATGAGAAAATCCGTGCACTAAAAATACAGCTTTCTCAAACCAACGTGCACCTCTGCATATTTGAGTCTTCTGAAGCCAAATGTTTTTTTCCAGCTTTTCAGCGTATATAGGTCAATGTTAGAAAAAAAAAAAATTCTCTCTTGTTTGTTCTGCACCAATTCCATGTTGGACAAAAGTGGTCCAAATGTCACTGGCAGGCAGTGTGCTACAGAACTGAATCAAATTGTCCTGTTCTTCTTTCATCCTTCTTGTGTCTGTGCTAGTGAGTTTGTGAACTGCAACAAAGCATCTTTTTATCTTGTCAAGGTTTCCTGCAAGCAGATGAACGCGTCTGCACAAAGATTATATTGGTTCAGTGAAAATATATTGGAGAAACATAGGAAACTTGCATTTGAAACAGTCAGTTTTCCAATTTTCATTTAGTCTTCAGCAAAAATGAATGCATATGCTTTATTCATGAGCTTTAGTGACTCAGTGCATTACATAGCCTGTATAATATTTTATACTTTTTAATTTGTGGATGCTAGATACAGGGTTTGATTTTTAGCAATTTCGAACAAGACCAAATCATGGAAGGTTAGATTTTTGGCTTCTCAGAAAACTAAACACAAGTATATCGTATTATCTCAAAAACAAAGCTGAATTGTAAAATTTAAGAGTAGGGAGGAATTTAGCATTCCTCATTCAGTCAGCTGACCACTTTATTCTATAAATTTCTGTTCTTTATTGCTTCTGGATATTTGGCATTTTGAGTAACTTGCTCATTGCTCAGAAGTGTTTGGAAAATTACTGTATGGATGAAAAAATTGCTGTGTGGATGAAAAGCCTCATGCGTGATAAACTTCTGTGACAAAGATTTAACTTTCATTTATATGCTTCATTACTTCGAATATTTTAATGGAAGACATGAAGCTTAGTGATAATTCCAGTGTTGCCATGTAATGTCAGTGTGGAGTGAGAGTACATAGGCGGGGAATAATAAAGGAGCATGTATTGCTCAAAAGACAACATTATTAAAGCCAGGACTTTTGACCTACGATTAACTTAATGTCGCTGCAGTAAACGTTGTCATTTGGACTAAAGTTTAATTTTGAAGCTTGTTTGAGGAAAGGATGTGTGATTTAGGGTATTGTCGGCGATCCTGTAGGGCAGCCTGTGCCCCCGTGACTAGAGTCTCTGGGAGTCGGTGTGCAAGGTAGAATTGTTTTGGTAGTAACACTCTTTAAGTGCTGGTGGAGATTGCATCCAGTGATGCTTGCTTGTATGGGTGGGTATTACACAATCATTATTTTATTCTCGGTCTAGATAAGATGCACGCTGACTGAACAATGTTTTCTACTCTTGACGAGAGGCTTGCACAAAAGTCTGAAGCTTCTGTGCTAAGGAGAAATTGTAATCCCTTTGGAACAACTGTGTTTGTTCTTACTCTTCCTAAAACATGCCCCCTGCCCCAGCCTCTCCTGCTGTGCTTCTCGTTTTCATACGGTGCAAGGCCCGCAGTGACAGTACAGAGATTCGAATCATCTGTAGTTTCCAGATTTCTCCCTCTGAGGTTAAACAGCACCAATGGAATTAGACCAAAATGGTATCTTAAAGGTTATTTAGGAATTCAGGAAGATAATATCACATAGGTTCTTGCATTGGAAAGGGTTTGTGGTTTTTTGCTTGCTCTTTTCTGCAACTGAAGACCAAGGCGTTTTGGGTAGGAGCTTAGGTCCTTCAGGCTCAGTGCTGTGTGAGCTGTGCGCAGCGAGTCGCTCATCTCAGCAGCATTACCAGTGCCGTGAATTTGTTTCTGGAGGTGTTGTCAGAGTGTTTCCAGGCATCTGAGGCTAAAGTTCTGAGGTCATTCGGCTTTGGTGCGCTAAACCCAGGGGTTATGTTGTAGAAGATGACTGCTCTTATTCCATAATCTCATTGACATTTGCTACAGGTTTTTTTTTTTCCTTCAGCCTTATCAGTGTTCCATGTTGTTACTGGTTTTGACACCAAATAAAAATATAATCTTCACCAGCAATGGTGTAATCACATTTTTTTTTTTTTAGTCCTATCCAACCCTTGATAAATGCTGTTGCATGTGAGCGAGCCGCTGTTCCAGCATTGCTGCCATAGAGATGTCCTCTATTGCTGGGCAGCAGAGGTGGGGGTGGTAGATAAGGGGAGGGGAAGCTATGCTGGTGGCTGGAGAACCTTCTTCAGGCCAAGCTGGTATCCTTGTTGTCCAGACTAGGAAAGCAAGCTTTGGTGGATACTGAAGGAAACCCGCTGTTGGGAGTTGTTACAGACTGAAGCTGTAATGGAGGGGGCGAAGGATCGGGGTGGGGGGAAGTGATCTGAGGCTGGGCGGTGGGTCTCCTCCTGGCTTGTCTGTTGCTGCCCTCACAGGCAATGATAGGGTGAGCTGTTTTGTCGTTGTGATCCAGTGATGTTTCCTTACGTACAGTTCTGACCTCCTGATCATGGGCTTGTCTGTCTGCCACGTCTGCTGGCTGCAGCACAGCGTGTATCGGTGCTGTGGCCTTGTCTTTTAGATACTGTCTTGGGCAAGGTTATCTGATAGCTCAGGGGGGTTTGCGGTGTTGGTGATTAAATGGGGGACTTCCTTCTCTGAAGTTCAGACAGCTTTGCGGAGAGCCAGGGGATAACTGCTTCATTTTAAAAAAGAAAAAAAAAATATATATATATAGTCACGTTGTCCAGGATGAGTTTTATAATTAAATAGAACTAAACTGATGCTATTTAAAATGTGACATTTAACGAGGGAAGTGTTGAGCCATGAATGCTGTTAAATGAAAGTAACACACAACTGAAGCAGAACACACTACCCTTTCTCTGGTAACACGGCAGTGCAGTTTCACCTCAGCAGACTGGTATTACCCTGTTATCTTCTCGTTCTGTACTACAGTGGCATTTAGTCAGGCTCTTAAAATAACACTCAGGATGTTGATTTGGATAACTGACTTCTGACTCCTTCCGACAGTGCGAGGATCAAAACCAGGCAAAAATGTCCAACTTCAAGAGAACGAAATTAGAGGACTGTGCTTGAAATCCAGAGAAATCTTTCTGAGTCAGCCTATTCTACTAGAACTTGAAGCTCCACTGAAAATATGTGGTGAGTGTTGTGATTCTGATTTGATGCTGGGGGTGATGTCAGGTAAATGCAATCCTTGGGCAGAGAATAAATGCCTGATGATACTTTCAGTTGTGAATAGTGGAGCTAACAAATGATTGTAGCAAAAGGGAAATTAAAACCCTGCTGGATGCTTAGGGTGGAGGAATGGGGAGGAGGTAACAAACATGGGAATTAGAGTGGGGACCAAAATAATCCAAACCCAAAAAGTAACTGGTCCAGTTTCAGCAGGTCCCTCGGGGAAGGGATTCACGTGAAGTTTTGGAAAGGGGCGTTTGTATCAATGAAATAGCATTTGGCCCAGTCATGGCTGAACAACGGGAAGGCAAGGAGAACTGCAGTAGTTCATTGCAGCTGCTACTCGGCGTTGAACAGGGTTTGACAGTATTTTAAAATCCTGCTGGAAACTTAAATTTCTGTACTGTTTCTTGGAATTACTTTCTGGTTTGGTTTCACCATACTTGTACACAGTGGTGCTCATTTTGCACACACATACATGTCTAGTTCTGCTGAAGGAATGAAGCATGTCAAAATAAAAGCCTCAATAAATGTACTTTGAAAAGCTTACAGCATTTTGTCAGACTCTTGACACTGAGGATTTACTTCAAATTGAAGTAGCTTGTTCAATATTTATAACATTGGTAGTCCAAAATCATTATTTTGCTTCTCAGAAACAAAACCATGGTTTAAATCAAAGGCAGAAATACCAATTTCATTTTCAATAGAACTTCACTGCTAAAATGGGAATGTACTGAGTGTTTCAAGAAACCACCAGCGAAGGTACAAAGGAGAGCAAATTCCCCAGGTGGTCACTTTTCCATCAATATTTCCAATGCTCTCTGGAAATACCAAGAACGAGGTAGAGGCTCCTGATCTCGCAGCCGCTCGTCAAGTGAAGGCTTTAACTGGATGTCAGATTTTTATTTGAACAGCAGTTGGTTTCTTGGAGTCCCGATGCTGTTTTACACCCGTGTGAATACCTCTGAGTAGCACCATACTTCATCTCAGTGTGGTTAACCTTTGCGTGACGTAGGTGGCAGACTGCAGAATGGGGTAGTCCTGTATACGTTAAGATAAACTGTCATTTTTAGATATGTTGTAGGCAGTAGCGAACTGCAGGCTTTTTTCTTCCTGAAGCATCATGCATTTGTTCTTTCTCTAGCATCAATCAAAGAATGTAGCAAGGGGTCACTGACGTGTCGTTCCCCGATACTCTTTCCAGGTGACATCCACGGACAGTACTATGACTTGCTTCGACTCTTTGAATATGGAGGTTATCCACCAGAAAGCAACTACCTGTTCCTTGGTGACTACGTTGACAGAGGAAAACAGTCTTTAGAAACAATTTGTCTTCTATTGGCCTACAAAATTAAATACCCAGAGAATTTTTTCCTCCTCAGAGGGAACCATGAATGTGCCAGCATCAACAGAATTTATGGGTTTTACGATGAGTGTAAGTAAGACAGATGTGTGCATCTTTGGCTTGGGAAGGCAGGGCGGGCAGTGCTAGTGTTGTAGTGTTAGATGAGTCTTTCTGAACTTGCAGTTCCTTTGCACACTTCAGGGGGCCCTTGGCCTGTTTTAGGAAGGGAAACGTGCCCTTTCCCTGGTCCTGTTGGAGTCTGATCCTCACGGTACAAAGCCACTTGCAAGTGGGTGATTTTATTGATTGGCTGCTATGTGAGCTAACAGTTCTCACTGGTCCATATTGTTAAAGTTCTTAAGGTCGTCTAGGGAGAGGTGAGAGACTTCTACTTGGTATGCTTTACGGAAGTTCACCACTGAGGGATGATGGTGATGTGTACTTGTGTTACAGCCTAACTGGCAGAATGGGCTGGTCTTTGCTGTGGTTATGTTACAGGGCTTGTGACCTACTTCGTATCAAGACCTGTAACTTTGTAGCGTTAAAAAAAGAAGACTTTGCCCTTCTGTGGTCGCAGTCCTGCTGTGCTGTGTGCTGTTGCTTTGCCCAAAACCACTGTTTCCTTTCATAAATGGGGCGAAGTGAGCGTGAAGCCTTCGGTGGGATGCGCATTTGGGTGGAGCACCAGGTACTTGCTCCTGCAGAAGGCAGCTTCAGCTGCAGAAGTCGTTACTGGAACCAGTGCGTCCGCCTTCAGTGGAGGAAGGTGCTTGTGTCTGTGTGGGCTCGCGAGCGCTCTGAGCAAAGGCAGCGTTGCCGCGCAGTGAACGTCCGGCTCTGGCCCTGCGCAGTGCACGAAGGTCTGCCGTGACAGAGCTGGTGTGGAGACCTTACCCTGACGTAACAAGTCATTTTGATGTGAGGTAGAAGTGTGTTCGTGCTTCAAAGGATGTGACTTCACAAATCCAGATCATGGAGAGGAGATTAAACCATTAAATGCGCACTGGAGCGTTCACATGACTTGTGTTGTGGGACGTACTTGGCTTGGCGCTTACAAGATGTGCTCTCTGTGTCTTGTTCTCCTTCCATGAGGAAACAAAAGATCTGTGGTATTTTGGAGTTGACTCCTCAGAGATTAATCACAGGCTTAGTCATGTATTGCAAATATGTTCAGGGTTCGTGTCTGTTGGGAGAGTCCCTTTGAAAGTAAAACTGGAGCACTTTCGTTTTTCAGTCCTGTTTCTCTGCCTACAGAGGCTTTATGTGGCAAAGTAGGAGCAGAAATTTAAAGAAAATCTGCTTTCTGAGAATGGCTGCCTTCCCCTGAAGAAAACAGCAAACGGCAAGGTTTTCTGAAATGGATCAGATTCTCCAAGGGAGAATTTTCCAAAGCAAAGTTGGGCCTGGAGAGTCTGGGTGCCAGCGGTGGGATGTCATTGTGTTGTCCTCAGAGCCACCTCGGAGCGCTCTGCCGCACCGAGACCGACCTTTGCAGCTTCCTTACGAGCCGTGAACTGTGTCAGTGGGTAGCAGAGAAGATAAATTGTGTACAGGCTTTAATGCTAACCTTTTGCAAGCCTTAGTAACCTTAAGACAGCCATATTAGATTGGTTGTAGTTGTGTTAGCAAAGCATATTGACTCTTTTTCTCCCAAATACCTTCTAGGTAAGAGGAGGTACAATATTAAGCTGTGGAAAACCTTCACGGACTGTTTTAACTGTTTACCGATTGCAGCCATTGTGGATGAGAAAATATTCTGCTGTCATGGGGGTAAGTAACGGTTCCGTAGTTGGTGTTTGAGAAGCTGGAGTATCAGTCATGGCCATTCCATGTTTACGTTGCTAAAGCTTCACAACTTCTGGGCTCTTTCTCTGCCTTGGTTCATGTAGGAGGTCGGGTTGAGCTTGGTTAGTGTCCATTTTGCGAGTCATTGGGGTGGCAGTTCCGTAGCTTCAGACACCGTGATCTGCTTTTCCTTTTGTACCAAAAGGCGTGTTCAATAGCCTCGTCTGTTGAGTAAAGAATCCTTACAGGTGTTTTTTAGACTTTATATTAGACGAGGAGTTTTATGTGCTTTCTGAAAACATCTCTTCTCATAGAATCGTGGAATGATTTGGGCTGGAAGGCACCATTAAAGGTCCCTCAATGGAATCCCCTCTGCCGTGGGAGGGACCTCTTTCACGGGGTTGCTCAAAGCCCCATCCAACCTGATGGGTTTGGAGTTCCGTTCATAGAAATTGGATGTTACGCACTGTGCGACCTGCTTCACTTGGCTTTTCAAAGCAGTGCCTTACATCTTGCACCTTAAATGTTTTATCACTTCAACTAGTACAGTTGCCCAGGCAGACGTAGCAGTGAAAAAGGGTATGAGAGCTGTTTGGTACTTTCTTTCATATTATTAGGCCTGATGGTTAAAGTCAACACGCCCTGTGGCTTGTAGTGTTAGTGCCTCTTCTCCTTAACAGCTCTTCTAACAGACACCTGCAAAATGCAGGAGCGAGATTGTTGTAATCCTGTAAAACGTGGAGATGGCTTTGCTGGTCCGGCTTCCGGTAAATCTTCTAGGAAGTGGCTTGTCTTCTGTCACAAAAGCTTTAAAACAAATGCTGGATTAAAAAAAAAGTCAGTTAACATTTCCATGGAACTAAAATTGCATCCGTTTGACTACAGATTGGTTTTGTCTTGAATGGATAGCTCAGTCCCGCAGAGCAAAGCTGGACTAAAACGTGAACCTCATGTCTCTTGACTCTGACAGGTTTGTCACCAGACCTTCAGTCCATGGAACAGATAAGACGAATCATGCGCCCCACTGATGTTCCAGATCAGGGTCTGCTCTGTGATCTCTTGTGGTCTGACCCGGACAAGGATGTCTTAGGGTGGGGTGAGAATGACAGAGGAGTGTCCTTCACGTTTGGGGCTGAAGTGGTTGCTAAGTTTCTCCATAAACATGACTTGGATCTCATATGCAGAGCTCATCAGGTATTTCATTTTTATACCTTACACCGTAGAACAACGTAGGTTCCAAGGGCCCTGAGGCGGTCACCCGGTCCGACCCCGCACACAGGCACTCAGCACAGACAAACCGGCCGCAGCCCGCGCTGCTGAGGACCTCATCCAGCCCGGTTTTAAATCGGATCGAGGCTCCGCTGTCTCTGAGCAACTTGTCCCCGTGTTTAACCACCTCTGTAATTAACTTTTTTTTTTTTCTCAATACGTACAAACTGCGGCTCTGATTCCCGACCGTGATTGTTGGGAACCTGGCAGAATCCTGGTTTTCTCATTGCTGATGGATTCTGCTGCTGAACTGGATCCTGTGGTGGTGTAAAACTCAGAGGTCGTGCTCCTTAGATGTAGCCAGTTTTTCAGCTGCTGGCTCTGATAAAGCTGCTTTGCGCCTTGGCAGGAAGAAGTTGTCCAGTCTCATGTTTCTGCTTTTCTCTCTAAAGGTTGTTGAAGATGGATATGAGTTTTTTGCAAAAAGGCAGTTAGTAACTCTCTTTTCTGCCCCAAATTACTGTGGAGAATTTGACAACGCGGGTGCCATGATGAGCGTGGATGAAACTCTAATGTGCTCTTTCCAGGTACAGTGTCTGACGGTTGTACCCCCTCGTTAGGGCAGTCACGCTTCACGCTGGCTCTGTTCTGACTTGATGCTTTGCTGTCACCCACCCGTGGTGCTCGTTTGAAAGGGATCTTTGTGGGTACCACACGCAGGCAGGGCTGCGTTCACCCTCCTGTCTTCAGAAATGGGGTGAGCCCTTGACGTGTGAGTAGATGAACTGTTTCACCCTGGAGTTAAATCATCCAGGCAGAGCCACCAGCTACCAGTTAGCCTGCTGGTGTGGGCTCTCCGGCCAGCTGCCCCAAGCCCTGTCGTACCTCTGAGCAGGAGACGCGTGTCTGTCTTGGCACGTTGGTGACTTCCCCAGATGACCTGTGTGACACTTTCACTGGCGAGTCAGTCGGATGGTTGTAAGAAAGCAAAAACTTTCTGCAAAGTGACTGCGCCGTCTTGTCGGCTTTCTGACCCATCTGCTCAATGACTCAACTGTCTTTTCAGATTTTGAAACCTGCAGAGAAAAAGAAGCCCAACTCCAGCAGACCTGTAACGCCGCCCAGGGGTATGATCACAAAACAAGCCAAGAAATAGTCGCTTTGGCGCTGCCTTGTTGGGACTTGTATCATAGCACCTAACCTCCCTTTTTAAAGCTGTCATGTGTACTGTTCAGCTTGCTCCGATAGATAACGTGTTTGTGGTTTCCCTTCCGGTTTGATGAATGGCATTTGCTGGTTGTAACAGCGAATGAAAGACTTTCCTCCCTCCCAGGAAAAGAGTTTTAAACTTCCCTTCCGTTGGTGTTACGGCTGTACACTCCACAGCATCTTACCCCGGCGTTATGGGTAACTGTACAACCGAGTAGTGTCAATGCTTGTTTTCTTCTTTAGGATCTAAAGAGGGCACTAGTGTGCTGTGAGAGTAGAGGTTTGTTGCTGTCAGAAATCACATACTGTTTATACGAACCACTGTGAACTTTTTTTACGTTAAATTTTGTTTTAAAGGGATTGCTTTTCTTCTAATGTCTCGTCATGTACACGTTAGGTTTATTGCTGTCGACATTAGAAATAACCTCCAGCCTTGCCGGCGTCACTGGTGTGATATTTAATTCAGACACACATCCCTCTCCGCATCCTTCAAATGACGATTAAAGCCATTATTTTAAGTGTTTGTGTCTCTTTCCTGAAGCCAAAGTTCACTTAGAAAACTGTTTGTACCCGACCCACCGCACCGAGTCGGCAGGGCTTCCCCTTCCCCCTTCCTCCTGGGGACAAAAGGAAGTCCTGGCTCGAAATAGCGAGTGGAAACGCTGTGCTGGTGGTTCTGGTCGTGGCCGAAGCAAACGCAGTTTTGGACAGTTTCCGTACGTTCGTGCCAGCGGACGGTCTGGCAGCGGCGGCGGTGCTGCGGCAGGCGGCGGCGGGAAGCTGGACGTTACAGAAATGGCTCTGGGTCCGCCTGCCTGCCCGGCTTTGGGCGTTTTTAGCCTAAAGACTTTGTTCCACAAAGAAAATCGCTTGATGAGCCAGCTGGAGGTGTTGATCTTGATCACTGGTTTGTAAAAATCTCACAGAATCTTGTTTTTTAAAAACTTAATCTTTTTTGAACAGATAACAGTGTACAATACCATGTAGTGAAAAATCACTTATTAAATGAGGAAATTGTTACATCTTCTCGGTGTCAGTTTATCACAGCGTATACACTACTGCTATCAGGAGACCTGACTTAGATAAATAAATTGTTCTGGAAACCCACAAGTTCTTGGTTTGGATTTGTCTGAGCTACAAGCACCACAGCTACGGTTTCAAGCAGGAGCGGTGGGTTTGGATCTGGTTCTGGAGTCGCTGTGTCCGCAGGGGTGGGGAGCTCCTCACCGCGGCCGTGGGGCTGCAGAACGGATCCAGAACGGCCGCAGGAGGAACCGAGATGTCCCTGAGATGCCCAGCTCAGATAAGCCACCAGCTCCGATTGGCATCTCCTCAGCGGGCGAGTTTCCCTTCACTGCTGGAGCGAGCTGAGCTGTTCTGAGGAGAATGTGTTTTCCAGGCACCGCCCGGCCGTTGATTTGGGGTTTCATGTATTTCTTGGGCCAAGTCCAAGAGCCTTTTTTCCCCAAAGACTTTCCTTCCTCCCTCTAAAGCTAATTAATCAAACCACCTCTCGGTAACTCGATGAGCTCGTTAGATTAGGGATCAGTTCAAGGCTTTCTCACAAACTTACTTTCACCCTTTAAATCACATTTGTGGTTTTCTTTATAGCTCTATAATTTTTCTCCCTCCTTGTAAAATAGTCACCTGCGTGTCTTTTATTGTCCTAGTGAAGGATGGGGCACACGTGGAACCAGCTCTCCTTTGACCTGTATCCAAAGGAGGGCATTAACCCGTCTGCAACCATCACCTCGCCGGCCCTTCTGCGTGTCACCGGGTCACACCTTTTTCCTCTGTGACTTGTTTTTTTCTCCCCTCAAACGCACTTTTAGCGACACGTGCCCGTTCTGGGCTGCGTTTTCTGCTCGGCTGCATTCCCCCACGGTGCTTCACGTACTGCGGGCTGCCCAGCTGCGCGGGGTGAAGGAAGTCCCACGGCACCGCGGTGGAGGTGGAGACGTTCCTGCTCCACCGCGCAGGCAGGAAGGAAGGACCTGCTGATCTCCCCGCGGGTCGTGATCAAAAGTTCAGAGACATGTTTTACGCCCGTGTTGGGGTTTTTTGATGGGTGGAGGGAGAGGAGGAGCAGCAGCTGCCCATTTCCTATGGTTTTTCTGTAACGATACTTGTAGGAACATCTAGTGTACGCGCGGAATGAACAGAAGAGCCCGTGAGCCTCCCGAGGCCCTTCTCCCTGCTGGCCCAAAGCTTTGTGGATGGCGCAAGGGGCAGAGGAGCAGGGAGGGGTCCCAGGCTGTGCTGAAATCTCCGCTGGGGGCAGCAGGGGAGCTGTGATAAACCTGAGTTCTCTTCAAAGCTCATCTCGTGCCTTCGGCAGCGCGCCCCAGTCTGACTGAGGTGTGTTACTCTGGATGAGGGTAGTAAGATCTGAGGTGCTGTTCCATCGATTTGGATGTTCCTCGAGATAGCGGTGATTTTCTCTGAAATGAAATGAGTCCTCTGTCCTGCTGAGCTGTCGAAAGGCTGTTGTTCAGCACAGGTCATCTCTGATGGTTCCTGGTTTGCTTTAGAATGTGTCAGTGCTATTGTGGCTTTCAATCCTGAGCTGTTAGGTGAAGCTGCGGTACTTTAAAACCAACAACAAAACATTAATTTTGCTCGCAGGCCAAGACCCGATCCCCAGCGGCGCTCAGCTCTCCGTGGGAGGAGGATACGGGAGTTTCGGGCACAGGAGCCCCTGATGAGTACAACGTCCTTTCGACCTCGTTTAACCTCTGAACGATACTAATTGTTGAATGAGAACCGGATCTAGAAAAGAACATTTGGGGGTGCAGCAGCGTCAGGCCCCTGTGCACTGCAAAGCATGGGGACCCCCCCCAGCCGAGGCGCCGGGGCCATGGTGGGGCGTTGGAGGGGGCGAGGGGCAGAGGCGGGGTGCCCGAGGTGGCGTTGAGCTGCCCATGCGCTGCGCCCGCGACGTGCCGTGTCAAGCAGTTCTTATTCAAAGCTGTGGCTTGCAAAGCATGACAGGCGGCGCGCTCTCCTCGGGGGTTTTCGGCAGCTGTTCAGTCCCTGAGGTCGAGCTCTTTCCAGGCAGTTTTCTGGGGGGTTTTCTACCCTTCCCACTTCCATTGGAAAATGAGGCTTGAGCTTCAGGGGTTTCAGTGTTAGAAAAACATCTTTCTGGTCTCTTGTTTTCATGGGTATTTGTGTTGCAGTCCAATCCCTTCATTCCACCAGCCGCCATCTGTCCCTGTTCCCCTTCGGCGTCAGGTGGGCAGCACCGACACCCAGGCAGCACCAGTCTCTCCTACGCTGGAATTTAACTGCCAGGGGCCAACACTGCCCCAAGTACCGACGTCCTGCCCCAGGGGCACGGCAGCCCCTGCTGACGGTCCCAGGGCTGGCAGGGGTGCTGAGGGTGCCACGAGGCTCTGGCCTCTGCCCCGGTGCTTTGGGGAGTCCGTGGGCTTCACCCTCTGCGGCTCAGGCACACGATCCTGACCTCTGTCGGCTCAGATCAGACAGGCTCAGACTGAGATTAACAGACTTGGTTTGTGAAAAAAGGTGCTGTTCCTATAAAAAGAAGTGTAGAAACTGGGAGTTTAACCCACTGGCGGGCTGGGAAGAGGTTTAAGGTGAGGCCCTGGGGTGAGGCAGCTGAGCTTGCCCCGTTCCAATCCTGTAACGCTGGATTCACCCCTAAATCATGCCCTGGGCACCAGCTTGGTCCTCACCCCGAGCTTGGCGGCTCTGCTGGTGGCATCTCCTCCTGCTAAACTGCCGAGGTGCCTCACAGACATGGTTAACGTGCAGCCCCTCGGAGCGCTGCATGCACATACCAATTATTGGGATTTTATTCAAGTTCTGACAATGAGGCTCCGTGTTTGTGATCAGCTGGTAGCTCCACTCAGCAGCTGTGCTCGTGGGCCAGGTGGTCCCGGGTGCGAAGAGGACTCAGCTCACGGGGGATCAGAAGCTGGCTGTTTTCTCCTTAAAACCTGCACTCCTTACCAAAAAGGGTGTCGGGTCTGTTGAGCTCTTGGGAGAAGATCTGTTACCAAAAAGGGGGTCGTGTCTGTTGAGGTCTCAGGAGAGGATCTGCCATCTGCAGTTCCAGTCCTGAGCTGGTGCCTTGCACCATGAGCTGCTTGTGTTGGTGTTTACTGGAGTCAGCTGAGACCAAAATGCCTGAATTAGCTGGAAACTCCCAGGATAAAACTCCTTCCTGCTGCTGCTCCGGGGTTGTGCCTTTGCTGTTCCACTCGTGGGTGCCCAGCTGATCTCTGCAGGTAAGTGGGGTGAGGGTCGAGGGTTTTGGAGCTCTGGGAGGGCGTTGGCTGTGCTGGTTCCGCATTGCCTGGGGAAGGAGGATGGGGGTGGGCCTGTGTGCTTTGGAATAAAGGGCTGGAAAATGTTCATGTTCCAGGAAGTTTTAGATACTTTCTAGGAAGAAATCTTTTCCAAGAAACAAATGTCTTTAGGCTTTTAAAGTGTAAAGATGAAGAGATGCCCCTTCATTAGGGGAGAATTAGAAATGTTTGAGGTTTGTCCCAGCAGAGGTGTAACAGAGATGGGACCCTGATCCCTTTTGCAACCGAGTTTGCTCAGGGCACTTCCAAAACCAGCTTGTGTTCAAAAGACAGAGAGGAATCCTCAATAAAGAAGCGGCTTTCTGATAAAGCATGAGCCTATAAATGGAGACAGATTAATCCAGGCCTAATTTCTAGTGTTTATGCCTTTGTAATCCTTTCGATCCCTGGACCTCACCGACTTTGTGGCACTAATCTGTGTCCCTGCTCAGCAGCCGAGCTCTGATCTCAGCAGAGTCTCACGATTTCGTTTCACGCCTGTCCTGGATGTCCGCTCGGTTTGTCGGCGGGGCTGGGGCGGCTGATTACAAAAAGGTTAAAAACAAACCAACCCCCAAAGTTTAAACTCCATCCGGCGCGTCCTGTTCCGGCAGCCCCCGCTCAGGGACGTACGGCAG